AAGATTATTTGAATAGGCTTTGATTTGGGATGAAAGTTTTATTCATCGATAGCTGGAAATTTACATTATCTGAATGACATTCGAAAATGAAAATAATATTTATATGTAGATGTTTGGTACTATTTAACTTTGTGAACGTTATCGATTTCAACTTTCCGATATGATTATGGTTTAACGATAGAAGTAATAAAGCATTTAATTATCTTCAAAATTCTCTCTATTAGATTTCCGTTGAGGCAAAAAACAATCATTTCTTAAAGCTGTTGATCAGTTGAACGTTTAAAGTGTGTTGGAAATTGGTATCTGATACTTCAATGTATGCTGTATGCTGTACTATTGCTTAACACATTCAAATCGAATCTGGTTAATTACATATTTTCCATACATATTTCTGCATATCTTCCTGCATGGCGTAATGTTGTAAGCAATGGCGAAAAAGATTTTAGTAATTCAGTTTCAATTTGATCGCTTATGATGATTCAATATTTTCGAAACTTATTTAATTGCAATTGGATTTTTTTCATTTGATTCATTATGAAAAATGCCGTTATTTACAATAACTGGGATAATATCGCCTTTATAGCCGCTTAAAGAAAAGACTCAGACACATTTTTTGCCCCATGTACAGTTCCATCCATCATATCCACTAAAAATCGATCTGTATGATTCCCAAATATATATTGAATTATTACTCAAATCCAAATACCTCAGATTTGAGAGATTGGTAAATTCATGTTTGAATAACATACACTGACTACCAAATTCTCACAAAAAACACATTCATTTCACATCATTCGATTTACAAAATCCAAATAAACACAATACGAAAATGATTAAAAATGTCATTGCGCACAATGAATTTTTCCAACTGATTTTAAATTGCATGAATAAGTTCTGTTTGCAATAATTCAGAAAAACTTTGTCAAATCTTATGGCGATTACGAATGCAATAGATAAGGATAGCATATAAGCTCCAAACTTAACTAAATGTATGTTAAATAATAACGAACTAATTTTACATAGAGATAGGCAAATTGATAATTGTCAATTTGTATGTCGCTTCGTGATGTCGGTGTTCTTTATTTACATACTTGTATGCGGTAAATGGTGTTTTTCCTTCGAATTTCTTACGAAACCAAAAGAAAAAGAGCAAAAATCTCAGAATTATGATTGCGTTTGATTTAGAGTAAGCGATGATGGCAATATATCGGATGATGGATATATAATCTTTAAAAACTTAACCCATTTGCAGAGAAAATGAATTGAACAGCGCATGATATCAAAATAATAGTAATCATAAATAATTGAGAGTGCATATTCTCGCCATGAAATACTTGTTGCGATAGAGTAAAGTGTTTAATGATGTATTTTCGATAGAAATTAAATTTCAAATAAAACATGGATGTTTCAATTGTGACACCGTGCAAAATGTAAGTGTGTTGTATCAAATGATCTGGCGATTCCACGGTGAATTACATGCACATCTAAATTGTGTGACAAGATTGTTAAATGTTTTCAAACATTAATATTATACATTGAGATTGGTGTGGATGTTACTATGGTTTTCCAGATAATATAATTATACACATGAAAAGACCAAATCAGATTGCGATTACAGAGCATACATGCGTTTGCATGCTCAATTTTCGATAAGTGAGCACATCTAATGCTCATACACAGCAAAATATGTTAAAGTCTAAACTGAAGAGTCGTTCCTTCGCATTATCTCTCTCATTCGATTTACTCAGCGCAAATTGGCGCGAAAAATGGATTTTGCAACGATCATTGAGACGGCATTGTGTTGTGGAGGTGTCTTTTTATGTATCGAAAATTCATGCGTGCACCTGGAAAATAGGTTTAAATTGAAAATCAATTCCATAAACTAGACGGAACAAATTTAAATTCGTTCCGCTCACATAACGATATTCATTTGAGGCTTAAAAAATGGTTCGGTTTGCTGGTCATTATATTCATAAACACAAAAAAAAACCGTATGCATTATCTGCCGAGAACAACCGAAAAGTGTGCACAATAGGTTTTGTTGCAGTTTTTTTTTCTATATTCAATCTTAAACATAATAGAGCACACATGAAAATGAATGTTTGAATAGAGGAAGAAAAAGGATAATAAAAAAGAAAAACATACGATTGAATGAACCAGAAAGCCACTCACAAAAGTTAATTTTTCATAAATTTTTTTTGAAACCAAATGGCAGCACAAAAGCAAACCAGATCAATTATATCCTTTTTGCTCCTTTTTTCAACATCCCAATCGCTCACACTCTCTCTCGCTCGCTCGCTCGCTCGCTCTGTTGATAACAAAGTACAATCAAGCAGATGAAAATCCATACAGAAGTGATCAGAAAGAAGAAGAAAAAAATTGTCGACACAAAAAGAAAACATTGATGAATGCCATTATACACTTTCTATTATTACCAATTCGGGCACCGTGCCGAATCGCGGAAAATAACGATCGAAATCCGTGTCGAATCTTTGTTTGTTTTTTTCGAACAAAATGCAGTTTTTCTTCTTCAGATTTTGTTCTTCGTTAATAAAGCTGATTTTTGGATTAAAGATTAATGGGAAAATGGGAATTGTAGACTCGACATATGCATATTTTCGATTTTGAATTTTTGTTAGGCATCTTTTTTTTCATATTTTTCTCTCATTTCTAATCATAATAATGAGTTCAACATGCTAATTGGGTAACTTTCGATTTTCAAATCGACCTGAAACTTGCTACTCTTGCTGTTCAATAATCCATTTATTGCTTATCCTCTCTGTCATTCTCTCGTTAAATCCATAAGGATAAAATCAGATTGTATTCCTACTGATGCGAATGCTTTTAAAGAAAAAACGAAAAAAATCAACAACAAAATGCCTGTGCACACAAAAGGAAGCAGAGAATAAAAAAGAATTGAGGATGAGGAATGACCGAAAAAGAAAATGTATTATTTGATCACAAATGTGCGTGTCGAATCGCGTAAAATGCCAAAAATCATGAATAAATAGAAATCCATTTGAACGGTGTATTTAGTCACGCTTAGCAATTTCATTTCACATGTCCATTCGAATTGATAGGAGCCAGCCTGATGTGGCATACATTTTCTTTTTGTATTGGAACACAAAATCGTGCACACAAAGTGTGCTCGTTACAACATTGTTTTCAATTTGTATGTATGTCCCATTGATTTATTTGCACCGTAACTAATTTGGCCCGAATCCAAAGAAATACACAATCATTCGCCAATTCAATAGAAAAAATTCGAAAAATAGCGAACGCTTTCATTTGCATTCAATAAATTTGAAATTCTTTTGGTGATTTCAAACTGAGTCTTTCAAAACGATGACATTCTAAAGCATGTTTCGATTATTCGAGTTTATTTCCTGTGATTTAATGTCGCAGATGGCACACCTTTTTTTAAAAAGTCATAAAAAACCGTTGATTGAAAAGACGTCATTTTCTGCCAAAATCTCCAAAACGTATTTTCAAAGCAACTGAAGGTGAAAAAATTACGAAATCTAAAAATTGACGTAAAACAAATAAATTTAGAATATTCCACATTTTTCTATTTGCATCATATTTTTTTTTGTTCGTTAGTACTCCATTAATTGAACATTCGTTTTGCTTTCTCTTGTCGATTAGTTCCATGAAAATTCATTGTTCTGTCATAAAATTAAAATGGACGAATTTTAAAGGCCATGAATCTTCGATGTGTTTGGTTTTCTTATGGTTTGTGATGATTTAACCTTGAAAATCGTTTGTTTCCCACATTAAACAAGTCCTTGTTATGATATTGAGGATCAATCAGTGCAAATAAAAAAGACGAGATAGAATGACGACAAAAGCAATATGCGTCACAGATGATGAGTTCATGTGGTCAGTATTGCCAAGGCCAATGCAAAATCAGACAGAAGAAATATCAAATTTCGTGGATTTTAACGTTAATGCACATGAAACTTTTCCACATGATAACTCAACCGAATAAGCACAAAACTACACTTTGATTAGACTCAAACATTAAAGGATAACCTTTTGCATGATCGATACAATCAAGTGAAGCTTATGTCATAATCGATTTGGATAGAAAATTCGATGAACGATTAATAAAACATTGATTGATGTGAATTTGTATTTTTTTGTTTTCATCATTTCTATTTTTGCATCAACAAATATCAAGTGATAAAAAATAATTTCTGGTTAATTCAAATCAGCGCAATACATCTATCAAATAAAATGTGAAAATATTTACATTATCGCAGTAACAGTACACATTCTTTTCATAAGACAGTAGCCATAGAATTTAAGGCTTAGATTATTGTACGTTTCGATTGAAAATTCAATTATAAACTAATGCAATAGTGTACGAGAAACTTTCTGGGTGGATTGTTGAAAGTCCAGTCTATCTAGTGTTAAAAAAATCTCAGGAAAAGTGAAGAGCCAAAAACGGTCTTCACCTTTTCAGAGAAAATCCCTATCAAATCGAAAGAGTTTTCCACAACTCCATTCTAATAAGAAGTTTTTGTTTCCACCCGGAATTGATAACGAGGGGGAACTAATGTTTCAAGAATAAATGGTTACCATTTTTGTGTCAATTATTATTAAGAATGGATGAGTCAGAAATGAATCGAATAAAAGTTCTTACGAAAATCATTGTCAACCACTCTTTCAAACGCGTTAAATTCATTTTCAATGGATGACACAACATCTATATTATTGACATCATCAATTAGTGTTTTTGCATGTGATATGGTTAGATATATTTCTTAGTGAAATGCTATGAAAATAACAAATTGCACTAGAACGATGGCAATAATAATGTTTGCATTTGATTCCAATCCGCTTGTCCTACTAACATCATTATTTGTATATGCCATGTGTCTTTTGATCCAGCCGCAATATTTAAAAACACGAATGAATCTGGTGCCCGCTGAATAAAAATATACAAAATTACTAAAAAAAACCATTCATTTTAACATTTAGTTGATTTGTCAATGTTTTTACTTGCCTCCCGTGCAACTCTGAAATGAAAGTTAATTAATTCAAAAATAAATAAAAATATGTCTTTACAATTGGATTAAAAAAAATACCTTATAGTTATGGAAACTACCGACAGCCACCAAACCATTTACATCGCTATAAGCCATTGTTGCGCCTATGGAAATAAAATCAATTTGAAATTGATTGTTTGCAATATGTTTGTGATTTTGCTAATTATTTGTGAATTTACCCATATCCGATTCACACGCAAATATTGCGTTCGATTGTGTACATGCATACCGCCCAATCGAATTATTCTCATACATTAGGCATTTTCTCGCTGCAACTTTTGCGTATTGCAAAACTTTATGCTGTTAAGTTGTGAATTGATTTAATTGAAGTACTATCGAATGTTTTCAAAAATGATATATACCTGGCTTTCATTATCACCCCATCCCGCAATTATGACATCTCGCCCGTCTTTTAAATCTTGTATGGGTAAGTTAATAGATTGAACCGTTTCTGACATAATTATCATTTCTGTGTGGATCATGCCGAGATCTATTATCTGTCCTCTTGATTCATTTGTTCCAATTCTATTCATATACAATGCGATGTATGATTCGTGCCACACTGTATCTCTGATTTGAATTTCTTGGCCATCATCGTCATCATCGTCAATTTTCACCTTGCCAACAAATACTTTACAATTCGTTGTTACATTGCATTCCGATGCACAAGCTGCATTTGTTAATATGTCTACTTCCGACAGAATAGCACCAGCACAGAGTGGTTGATATACTTTATTATGTGGATGCCACACTTTGATCATTGCAATGTACGGAACATCAGACAGTTTTGCCTCCTGGCCCCCTCTGATGCGTGGACTCGTTTTATTCCAATCTAACTCTTCTCCTGGCTGTTGACTATTGGATGTTTTTCCATGCGATCTTATAGCTGCAATTAAAACTGGGAAAATTAACAAAATTATAATTACGTTCTTCATATTTGAATTTTTCATGTGCCAGGTTCAATGTTTTGTTTTTGAATAGTATTTTATTGTACTCTGGAAGTAGCACAACACTTTTTTATAACAAAATAACAAGTATTGAAATGGAAATCTTGATGGGAAGATTATAATAATTTGAACTTTCGTTTAATCAACGAAATGGCTACTGAGATATTACTGAGTTTAATCTACTGCTGTGATAATATTTAAATTTAGATAGATTGATGGATTTAATTCAAAGTCAATTGTCAAACGATAAATCTTAAATAAAAAACATGAATATTTGCGTAGATGAGTTGACAAATTTTTAATTTTGAAACAAGTGAGAGATTCCCGTGTGGAAAAAAAGTGATTGACTGACTGATTAGCTGAAATCGACTGAAATTGAATTTTGTAAACTGAAGCCGTCTACCCAGCGACTTTAGTCGTTTAGATATCTAATTTTAAAACAACTTCAATCTCAGTCGGATTTAACTAAAAACCTCCCAAATTAGTTAGTCAGTCAGTAATTTTCCACAAGGGTTTGTTTAAAAATTCAAAAAACTTAAAGAAATTCTATTGAACTCATGCATATCTTTTTACAGACGCATTTTATTACAGCGTATGAATATCAAGTAAAAGTTATAAACTTTTTCAAAAATCCATTGTACAATCAATTTCAATAAGAGTTACTTTCGTTGTGTTTTGCGAAATCCCAAAAACACTATCTAAACCAAAAAGCGGTCTGCAACTGCAAACTTTTTAGAGAAAATTATCAAGCCAAAAAATCATAGTAACCTGAAGAAAGAAGGTTAGTTCGTTTGCAAATAACTATGGCAAGTTGTACGCATAATTAAGATTTAATCGATTATAGTTAACGATATAATAAATGGAGCGTATTTTCATTCAAATATTCAAAGATCTACATTTGTATACAATGACTTGTTTCTCATGTTTCAAACACTACGTTTGTTACTTGTGCATCACAGTTCATTTCAACAGACTACTACAATCATTCAAATAAATATATGTGTCAACTTTGATCAGAACTGGCAGTATTATCATATAAGTCGACTAGATGGCCAAAATATTTTCACAAAATATAAGTCAAACAAAATTGTATCTAATCTTACATCTGTTGTTTGCCTAGTAACAATGTAGTTCAGATACGCGAAGTGCATATCCATAAAAAATGAGCGAATTATGTACCGTGTTTATTGATGAATAATGGATAATCTTAAATTCCAAATGTACAACATCCGTTTAACTTCTATATACATCCAGAATGACTGCTCTTCAGTGCATTTAATGCGGTATGTATGCTTTTTGTATATATAATCAACGTAGAAAAAAATTCATTGGAACTCAGTGATTGCCGCACGTGCTCACATTCAAAATGAGAAAAAATTCAAGCAGCGCGAAGCATAAACCAAAAGGATCGCGTGCATGAGCCAATGTTTTGTGATATCTTCTTGGTCTTTTCTTTTATCGCTTTGAAATTAATGCTATAGTCAAAGTTCGTTTAGTTTTTTTTTTCGTGTTCGTCTTGGCGTGCTTTTTGTCAAATGAAAGAGCGACCGACATTTCAGTGAATTCTGATCGGGGGTCATTTTCTCAATATTACCAGGGGCTCTCTTACTCTCCCACCCACACATTCTGCTTGTATTACTGCCTTTGCTGTTCTCCGCTCTCGTCCTTTTTCATCTCCCTTTCTCTCTCTTTTACACTGCCATTCTCTCCTTCTGTTTCGTCCAATGCGATTGCTGCAGTCATTCATGAACAATGATCGGAAAATAGTTGATTGGCGCACGTGCATTGATGCCAGAGAACAAAGTGTCTTATTTCATTCTGGTTTGCTTTCTTTCTTCATATTTGGTCAATAAATCAATCTTGCTTCTTTATAGTTTTTTTTTGCTTCTTCTTCTTCAATTCATTCTGCGCACAAGACTAAAAAGCGCTATAATCATAAAGCGCGGCATTTTTTATTCATGCAGTAGAAGAAGATTTTGTTTTCTGTTTTTGGTTTTTTTTTTCTCTCTCTCCTCATTTTACTGTTCACCATCCAAAGCGAATGCGACTAGACGATCAGCGATATAATAGGTGAATTGGACCTCCCCGACAACAGTCAGAACATCCGTTTGGAATTAATACGAAGCTCAAACAAACGATTTTTTTTCTCTTTTGCTATGTTGGCGGTATTATCATCATAAAAGTGTGCCGAAAAATTGCCAGTTGTCTGAGCGATTGTTCAATCATAAAGTGCCAATTCTTGAAATCGGTTGGAAGAAAAAAAAATCAAAGAAAAGTATCTTTAATAGAAGTTTTTCGGCCGATCACACTTTCGTGCTGAAAAGGTAAGACGGAAAAATGTGCCATTTTTATTAATAACATGGGAAGTTCATGTTAAAATGCAATGGCGCGCCAACGAGTCTTTGTCATGAATCGTTTTTTTTTTGTTCTTCTTCATCTAAAAATTCAAAACCAAGAAAATTCAACGAAGTCGAAAATGGTTTAGGAATGTTTGCTGCTGTTATTGTTGAATGCACGCTTCTAATAACATTCTCGTTCATTATGTAGCCAACAATTACCATTTGACATCTGTGCTAAGAATTTTGTATGCGAAGATTGTGCTGGGCATCGAATAATTTTCTCAATATTTACACACTGTAAATGATGAAGATCCTCATTAGAGCGCGCTATTTCACGTTCGCATTCTTGTTGTGTCGGTCATTTTTCTAATTGATGTCTGTTTTGTTCTTTATTCGCTCTACGAATTGCCTGTTACTGAATTTTCTGTTAACGAACACCATTTGTTTGACGGTGACGATGATGAGTGATAAATTGCAAAAATCTACAACAAGTTGGAGAAAATGCCATTGATTTGCCGATGCTAAATCGATCGAAAAAGAATGAAAGTGAAAAAGAGATAGAGAGAGAGAGAATGAAAAAAAGGAAAATAAAAGCTACCGCGTACATCGCCATTTGACCATGAACGAATCGAAAGGAATGGACAATATTTTTGCTCTAACTGCCTACCAATTACGCATCAATCGCACCGATTCAATTCAGCAATCCACTAATTACCCTATCATTACTGTTTATGATCCATGAAACTATAATGTTCGTTGCCCTTTGAATTGCAATAAAACTATTAGCGTCTCCTGTTTCTCTATCTCTGTCTCTTTCTCTCTGTTCGGTTTTACCATTTGAGTTCCATTGTTTGAATTAGCAATTTTGGCAAAAACGTATCATTTGACCGATCGTGCATTTCAAAGAGAAAATGCCGAATTTTCGGTAGTTTCAACATTTTTCCGCCGCGTGTGGCTTCAACATTTTATGCCATTGTAAAACGAAGCGAAATAATTATTAATGACTTTTGTAGTACACAACCAATGGCCAAACATGTTTTTCTCTTCGATGATTAGGATCATGTTAATTCACTTTAATAGTTACTCATTTAAGTCGTTGAGATCAAAGAAAAGGTGCGAAATATGAAGAGAAAATAACGAAAAGTCGAACGAAAAATCATAAACAGTATTTTTTTTTTTTTTTCAAAAATGATTTTCAACCTTGAAGGTGCTATTTTGGTTAGATGGTGGTACAAAAAAGAAACTAGGATCCTTGACTACTTGTTTAAAGTAAGAATAAACAATAATTAGTAAATTTTTTTCAATGCTACAAGTAAATGTTGACCAAAACAATTTTTGCGGCTCCGACTGTACGTCTGCGGCAAAAATGAAAGAACATTAGCCATGGCTCATTTGATCTAGACGATTTAAGGAAAATCCTTAAATTAGTTTTGCGAACTATTAACCTATCGCAAATTCCGATCGCATTTCCGCTCACACACTGGGATTAAATCTAATCTAATTAGAGACATTGCGAAATATGTGTTCTAATTAAAGACTAACTGGATCTATCGTTCTTTGATCACTGGATTGTCGAACATTTTAATGAATAGCTCTTCAACGTATAATGATGGTTTTTAGTTTGAAAGCAGAGCATTTCAAAGGAAAATAATATGCTTGCCATTTCATCGTATGAAAAACGATTTTAAACGCAAGTTATCGTCGAATTTTTTCAGATTTCAATGTTTATGACTAATTTTCGATGGTTTTGCAATACTTTTCACTCACCAAACGGCTAAATATTGAAATTTTCCCAAAAATGACGCCCATACGATATTTCTACAAAGTGATCCAATTTCATTGGAAAAAAAGAATAACTGATGCGTATATTGTTTTGAATTTTCTCCGCACAAGCCGATCTTCTTCTTGGCCGATTTAGTTCTTCGAATATAAAAAAGCGTTTAGAATTTCTATAGAAAATTCGGCACATTTTAAAAGAGTGCATTACAATAGGATGATATTGATAGTATCAAGGAGAGAGAAAAAAACATCTGACGCTGGCCACAAAGAGCTGCACGTGAGTACATCGCTGCACCTAACACTGAAGCACTTGAAGAAAAAAAACTGAATAATAAAATCTGTTTCAAATGCTATTTAGAGTGAACAATATGCCTATAAAAATGTACTTGTGTGCACGAATTGTATGAAACAGGGAAGGTGCGCATTCTTAAGATGCAAAACTAAGAAGGAAGTATTGACCATTGTGATCAATAGCACACGCAAGGGGTCGACGTGAAGTGTACCGAATGTCCGAATTGTATTGTCTTTTGAGCTTCAAGTGGAACAACGGGAATGGTTCTTCATTTTTGTGTTGTTTTCCTTTTGAAACAATTATTTTTTTTTGTTCAACAATTGAAACAGACAGGGTTTTGTTTTTGCAGCGTCACTTTGTCTGTCGTATTTTTATTTTCATTCTATAATTTGAATGAAATTTTACTTGAATACATCATATAAGGATTGCACTCATCCTTTGTTTTCACTTCAGTGGAAAATCTTTGAAAATCTTTTCATAGTCCATTGCATATTGATTTGGTTCGATGCGAAAAACAATTGTCCATTGAATCTCAGCTAAGAAAAGAAGTTCATTATTTACATTTCTTGGAAATTTAAACGATTTTCAATTTAGATTTTACAGTTTTTCGACCCAGTTCATTCATGCATAGTAAATTGTAAATAGGTTTGAAATCGTTAATGCTGTTGTTGTCGTTTTTCGAACGAAGTACGGCTGCTTTCAAAACAATAAACATCTCCAACTATTATCTAATGCGGCATTTACAACACAGGTGGACGACATTCACCATTGAGTAAAGTGTAGCAGTGGAGAAACAAATTCAGCTCGAGGCGATGTGCCATGAATGGATTAGCAGAAAAATCTGAGTTCTAAAAAGAAAGTTCCTTTTCTTGGAGAAAAAACGGGATATTTTTTTCATATTGTTCGGGGATTTCTTTTTTAATGTTGGCAAAACAAAATCGGATCCGTTCATTAGGATTTGCAAAATTTATCTAACAAATTAAATCATTGCCAAATACTCTGTTCATCGTACATCTTTGGATTTACGTCGATCCATCTGAATTGACATTTAACAAGAAAGGATTCGAAAATTGAGTAAAGAACATTACAGTTTCTACTTCGTTAATTCAATTCAATAGATCACTCGCTATCACATATAAATGGGGTTTATGTTCGATTAAGTGCGTTTTATTCTTCGGGAATTATTTCGGTGTCTGTGTCCCATCTTTATTTACATTGAAACCGTTTTTTCCTTTAACGTGAATACTTTCAAATGCTGTTGTCGACTCTATTTATTCATTAATTTCGATTGAATTGTTAGTTCGATGTCGGATTTGCTTGGAATAAATATCTTTTGATTATTCGCTGCTCTTGAGCAAACCATACAACGAAATGCCGAGTTCATATACGGTTTGATTGAATAGAAACCTTTCGAGACGTATATAATAGTGTAACGCGTGCAATTTGTACCAAGTTTAAAGTCAATTTGTTCACTTTTGTGCAGATGCCGATTTGTTTTTTTTTTTGTTTAAGTTTCCCCGAATTTTATTAACTCCGAAATTGAGTGTTTGAATGCGAAAATGTGCAATAAATATTGAAAAATGTGAAATAAATAATCATCGTGCTATTGAAATGCTCCATTGCCTGTTGCCACCACTTCACTTTTGGCCATATTTTAACATTGGCACAGCCCGAAAAATGATTCTTCTCATTGACACGCATTCTTTAGCTATTTATCAGAGAATGAATGCGTTCTTCTTGCCATTTATCGCACGCACAGTATTTTCAATTCAAATTTAAAACTCACACAAATTCTATCTAATTGTTCATAATTGTCATTGTGTATCGTTTATACGGTTCCATTCATACGACAATATTTGCAATGAATGAGAACAATTCGGGCCATTGAAAACGTTCGAAAAACGATATATATAAAAAAAGCAACAACACAATGCCAAGTCAAAAGTCGACAAAGCAATTTCAATAGAATAAAAAGTGTTGAACAAGACAAAAAAATGAAATTGCTTTTTTTTTCAATGGAGTTTTTTTTTTGTGTGTGACAAAATATTCTCATGGTTTTTATTCTCTCGAAGTGTTTTGAATTAATTCTATGTGCATTTCATATTCAGAAGGAGAAAAAAAAACCTGAGTAAAAAGAAAATGGCATGGTTCATTTTATGGAGTATGTGTCGATGCAGCGTGCTATATGCACTGAAGTTGCATGGTCACACTTAGTTTTAACTGTTTTATTGTTTTGGAAATTGAAACGATATTGTTTTGCTATTATTTGATCCTGTGATATATTTTTTTCTCTTTTCGCTCTTCAACAATACGCACACAGCACACACATAAAAACCATTTAAAGCTATTTGTTATAATTTGGCAGTAATAATAACAAAAAAATGAAAGGTAAAATAACATCAAAGAGATAGAGAAACACGCACCAAAAACAGTCGAACACCATTAACTAAACGCATCCAATATGAATCGATAGAATAAAAAGAAAGAAAGAAAACAACGCAAAATAAATAACGATAAAAACGTTTATATTGATACTTAATTTGTATGGAATCTTGTTGAATGGTGTCAATGGGATGACAATAATAAGAACCAATAATATAAGCATTCACATACAATTCACGAATGCGATTCCTTTGAAGAAGAAATGGTAGATAAAAAAAAAACAATAAAAGAATTTATCCTTGGCATTTTCGGCATTTAGCCGAATCAAATGACTTTGCTTGTATGGAAAATTGATGGAAAATGCGGTATTTTTTTTATTCTCACAAAATGTGAATAAGCAATAACTTATTGTCCGAACCGAATGTATACAACACACGCATATGGATACAAATGTGTTGCTAATGCTGCGCGTGATTTCTTCGTAAACGTTTTTTTATTTGAGTCAAACCGAAAAATTACAGCATTTTAAAGGACCGTTCATTGTTGTACAAGTATTTCATACATAATTCACCTTTTCTCAATAACAATGCGGCATTGCCTCGGGCTCAGAAATGTTCTTTGAATTTCTTAAAAGACGAAGCAATTGAAAATTCACTTTTGGACCATATTGTTTTTTCATTCGATCCATTCAAAACTATAACTAGTTTTTTTTTCACTTCAAAAATTTGATTTAGTGTGAAATACACAGTTTTTCTTTTCCTTGATGATATGATCCTTTTAGCGCGCAATCAATCGCTTCTGAATCGCAATAGCAGAAATCAAAGATTTTTTTAAGCACCCAAGCAGATGGCAAATATATCACAAACAATAAATACCTTTTTTTAGCTGATCGCTGAATCAATTAGCTTGATGGGCATTTATCAATTTTCCAATAAAATGTTTTTCGCACGATCTATCCCATTTAACGCATTTCATATACAAAAGAAACCAACAGATAGATCAGTTACTGTAAAGGTTTTTATTGATACCAATTTTTCGTAATTTGACAACAAAAAGAAATCACACGGTTAATAAAATAAATGCGAACCTTCACCAGAATTTTGTGCAATTTGTGCGTTTTCCAAAGAAATCTTCATTATTGTCGAACAGATGATTTCATTTTGGATAAATTCCAAGGATTCTAGTTCCAAGTGTGAAATACGACATGATCAGAATTTTTAATGGCGGACCTTAAATTGATAACCATCTTGTGCGACCACATAAGTAATGATGCAAATACCAACAATTGAGTTGTTGAAGCATGTTCTAGTCAGATAAGGTTCACTGTCACCCTAAGATCAGTTACCGACATTGTTCATCTGCGAATCGAAAAATTTCTCAACTTTTTGAAATTCAAATAAGGACGAAATGTCAACTTGGCAATGTCTTTTATTTTTTACGATTCCGATAAAAAGAAAAAAAAAGAAATACACAAAATTAGAAACTCAGCGAAAGCTTCAAAAACTTGCCCATGATCCAAATCACGAAGTCCAAATTTTATTTCCAAAGATTCAGGCAAATTACACGCAGAGGTGGTATTGGCACCAGGGATGTATCTGAAATGTAATTTTTGTACCTGAATACAAGAAAGAGCAGAACTTAAAAAAAAATGCCCGCTTCTCTGCAGTGTCTATAATAGCTCTGATTACACGTAAAGTTTATTTATTCGATCGGAATTATGGTTTATCGGAACTATGGTCTTATGTGTGAAACAATGTGTTCGATTGTTTTACTGTGTTACTCAATGAGTTCGATCATTGTTACACACACAAAATATTTATTCCGATAAGCAATAATTTCGATCGGAATTATGTCTTAGAATACCAACACTGTTTTGAATCTATTTGGTATTAATGAGGAAATGATACAATAGATGTAAAATAATCATATTATGGATGCGCAATGCGATTACTATTATTGAAGTATTCCAGTTATACATTTTGTATTTCTCTTATTGTAAATTGAATGGAATTGAGTCATGATAAAGAAAGAAATGGATATTCAATCATCCGCGAGATTACAAAGCTGTGGAGAATGAAAGCTCAATTTATTTTTTGTTCTTTACATTTATATGTAATTTTAAATATTTGTTATTGAGATGAACAAAGTTAGAATAAAAAATCAATTCATTTTCGCGCAAAAGGGAGATCAAATCTTTTTAAAAAGGTCGAATTATTCCTTTACCACAGATTTTATAACATATATCACTGATGTATAATATCAGTCAAATGAAAATAGCAAAAAATGCCAATTCGAATTTTTTTCCTATCAAACATACTTAGTTCATAATTTGAGCCTACTTCCGAACAGGTGCACGAGATTATCACATTAATACTTTATTTGAATTTGTTTATTGAGCGTGAAATTATATTAAACAAGTGGTCATCTTCATATAATATTAATGAGTTCAACATAAATTACAAATATCGTAAATTTAACGTGCAGAAAGTCATGAAAACATAATTCAATTTGCATGGAATTACGTACGCTCATATGCATAATTTTCACAAATGACAGAACATTCTCAATTTTTTTCTTCAGCGAAACAACCATTCAAATGACGATCACAACACTTTTTCGTTGCATTTGAATGATCAAATCAACTGACACAAGCGAATTTTGTATTCAAGAACTGAAGCAAAACACCAACAAGAGTATCGTATGTGTATATTGCAGTTATGTGTCAAGCTGGCAGGTAAAAAAAAGAAACAGGCTCAATATTCTCAAACAGGCTCAAGTACGACATAAGGATATTTGATCAAAAAGGAAAGTAGAATAACTCCTGAAACTCTGCAATATTTTACGGTTTTTTTTTTTGGTAAAAGAAGGTGGGTTGTTCTTCGTGCAGATGTTAGGAATGTTAGACGGATGTAATGCACTTTTCGCAAGGAATTTGTAACATAAATTTAGGATTATTTCATGATTTTAACACGATATTAATATGGTTTAATTGCTTTATTCGCATTTTTTTTACTTCATCATAACATTTGGTTCTAATTGGAAATTTGACGTGAAGAGTAATGCATAATTGAATGCAATTGATAATTGTATTGGGCAATTTTTAAAGTTGTGGAAAGAAAAGATGTTCCAAACATGTCAGGATAAGTTAATTTCATAACAGGGTATTTTACAACATATGTCAAACAAGATGAGGCATATTTTTTTAACAAGAGAGCCACAAAAATCCCAAAATTATTTATAAATACAAACTGTAAATAAATTCAATAAAAAATGCAAACAAATTGTTTTTTTTTGCCAAATTTTAGCTTTTTATTTGTTTTTAATATCAAACTTTTCACACAAAAAATATCATTAAAATTAAACCATAATCTTATGAGATCTTAAATACAGTAAAACTTAATGATAAGTAGTAAAAAAACGTGGAAATCAACTTAAAACATTTGGCTAAAATGCTATGGAGATCAATACGAAATTGAGATTAAGTATGTCAATTCGATTCTTAAAACAAAAATAAACGTTTAAAGTTTAAATTAAGTGTAAAAAACAATGTTTTCAAAAAAAAAATGGAAGTGTTATAACTGGGAGTCATTTAAATTCACATGGTTCATTTGTCTATTTGTAGATTGAACTTATTTTAATTAATATCTTAATCTTTCGAAACAAATGAATATGCCAAAAATTAATGATTTGCATAATAACCAGTGTATTGTGTTTTTTTTCTTCTTCAAACGACATTAAGCGACGAACCTACGACCTTGATTGGAAAATTCAATTGGAAGATGATGATGGCAAAGATGAAAATACCATTTGGGGAAGAGAAACAGGACGATGCTATCACAGTTTTAAAATCTATCACTTAAAAACCTAGTAAGTCAATGCATTGCAGTCGTTTTGAGTTTGGAAAGACCCGATATCAAATCGTGCAATAGAATCGCAATTGACATGGAAGACACGCTACATTTGTACTTGGAAGCTCGAAAGCGAGGAGGAACACACACACCTGAACACAAACACACCAAACAGTGGCAATCCTATTTTGCATCACTGATATTTGATGGCTACATAGTGTGTGGGTGTGTGTATGTGTGTTCGCTTCATCACAAAAAATCAAATAAATCTCTCTTTTCATCTACTTTTTGTCTAAAAAACATATAAAAATCTCTCTTTTTCCGTAAATAAAATTTCTCTGAATAAAAAAATATAAATTTCAATCTATAAAAAAAATAAAATTTTGAAAAAATAAACTCTTTTGAACTCTGCCAACAAAACTCACACCTTTCATCGACGCGCGATTGTTTTCATCGAGATCTGTATGTATTGCAAGTGATCACAGACAATGAAAAAATCGATCAGATCTTGATGTAAACAATGCACATATATGTCGAGTGAAAGGGGAAGTGCTCTAAAATTTGAATAAAAATTTCAACCGAAAAAAAAATCTATCAAAAAATATAAAGAATTTGAACGTATACTTTTCGATTTTATAAGAGGAGATCATAGAAATTATTGCTTGTTTTGTCCTTATAGTCATTGCAAAAATATTGCGAAATCACTTAAAAGTTGTCAAAATATATGCCCATTCTGTTGCTTGTGTCCTCCATTGCCCATTGAACATTAGAGGGAAGACAAGCAAAAGAATGAGCGGCTCTGTGTTGTGGAAGACAATTACTATCACATGTTTTATCACCTGATTCGCTTCGAATTCATTAGTTCTGATGCGATGGAAGCAAAGAAAATGGCGAAAATCGAAGTCGAACGTTCATTAACCCTATATCACATCTGTATCAAATTAAATCTAATTAAAGCTAATTTTACCAGAGTTCATCGACTGCACACGAGCAGCAAGAACATAGAGCTAAAGCTATAAATTGACACTAATATCGGCCTATATTGTTACTGCTATTGACACTCATCTCATCAAACCACATATGCGTTGTTGCGCCATGTGAGCGTGTGAGAGAGACGGATTCAATAACAAATTTCAACACTATCTCTATGGCGTGTGAAAGAGACAAACGCAATTGATCACAAACATCTAACTAAATCACAGTTTTGTTGATCCCTAATTACTACAACTAAATTGCACATTGCTGATTGCATATGGAAATATGGATAAAGTTCAATGGACGCTTTCAATTGTATCAATTCAAACAAAGTTTTATGCAAACATAGAACCGGAATTGAGCTTTTCTTCCAAAAAAAATTGGAACAAAATTTTATATTTCAATGAAATTGTTTACTTTGAACTTTATCTAATTTCCCTAATAATTAATCTAATTTGCATGTCCTGTCCTTCCTATCAAAAATTATTGAAATTTTCCATGGGTTTAATTCGCGATGCTGTTAATCGACACGTACAGTGTCAAGGTCATATGTACGCGCAAAATGTCATTTTGAATTTTCTTGGATTTGTGTTTTTGTTTTCGTTTCAAATTATTTCTAACAACAAAAAAATATTGATAAAATAAAAACTTAAATCAAATCACTGAGTAATTGAATGGAAGTAATGGAAAAAATCTTAACAAAATCAAACAAAAAAGAAAATCTCTAACTACACAAACTCACACAATACTTGAATCTAAGGCACATAACGGTATCGCCGATAATCGGAAATTCAATGTGAAAATGTCTCAACAAATGTCAAGCATTGCGGCAGTATGTGTGTGTTTATCTTAAAAGCTAGTATCGTAAATGCTAAATTTTCCGTATACCTGAAGTGCTTCGTTCTCTAAATTTTCACAATCTTCCATGCTCAACCGAATGTTACGATGATTGAAACGGGGAGCTGGTGATGATGATGTCGATGGATGTGCTAGACTTGTGGCGGCTAAAAATTGTGGCGTTGGAATGAATGATGTTGATGCTGGTCGTTTGCGAAGCGGTGCGGCGGCCAATGGGCTCGTGTACTCTTGATCGAGATAGCATGAACAACGTTTTGCCTTGTACATGCCCATTGGTTCAATGTTTGTGCTTAAATTAACACCATAGTACAGATCATCGTTGCTGAATGGTTTATACGATGGCCCATTTTCGTTGGTATTTTTCAATGCCATTATATCATCGTCTTCATCGGAATTCTTTGAGACAAATGTGTTTAGCTCTTCGTGCAAATTATTTGGCGTTTGATTACGTACCGCCGACAACAATGTCAACTTGGTCGATGTCAACAAATCGGATGTGTTCATCGGTTCAACGCTGCAGTACTTGTACTTTTGTGAAATGATAAATTCTGTATAGGTGGATGACATTGATTTTATATCTTCACCGGCTGCCGTTAAAATTTCTTCGAATTTATGCCAATATTTGTTTAAATTTATCTTGGCTTTTGACACCAACTTGCGAGTAGCATGTTTCGGTTTCAATGGCTATTGCGAAAAGAAAACAACGAGAAAAATCACACAATTAATAAACTTAGATCAAACACAACGATCAACACAGTGTAGAGAGAGAGAGAGATAATTTATAATGAATGAATGTTGGTTACTTACTTTGCGCACTGATTGCATCCAATTATTGAGCTGTTGTCGCTGTTGTTGTGACGGTTGAAGATGTTGCCCCTGTTGCTGCTTGAGCTTGAACTCTCGTTCTTTGTTTACTAAATTATCACGGGCGATACACATGATGCGATTATACTCAACGAAGAAAATTTCAAACAAAAAAACTGATACGTTTTGCTTTGTGCACTATATATGCTCGAATAATAAAATTCACGAAATACGTGTTAACTTCTGTGTGCAAAATACGTGTCTTGAATGTTACGCTTTTCTCGTCAATCGAATCGATAAATTCGTAGATTTTCCGTTCTATGTCGAGAGAAACGCTGCTGATGTTGTGAATGCAACAGGTTTGAAGTTAGAATGATGGTTAGTACGAAACCAGCAGGACTTTTATACCCAAAAATTCGATGCGCGCCAGCATAAACGCTCCGCAACCAAAATACAGGAATAATAAGTCGAAATCTATATACAAAAAAAAAAAGAGAGACGACGAACGAAAAAAGGAACAAACAAACAAAAAATAAGTTAAGCCTACGGCCAAAAGGAATCAACGTGTATTATAACGTATTTCTTCCCCCGCCACTCCTTCTCTATATCTCGTTCATTCGCTGCGACTTGTACAGCATATCGCAACGCACCACAGTTCCGAGTACATCGAAGCACGTGGGCGATTTGCTCGTTGAACCACGACCGGTTCCTTGTACCAGTGCTACGTTGTACACCGCACCACGCATGCACTCGAACACAATCCTGTGCACATGATAAACGGCTCGCACCGAACATACCACCGCACATCTATGTACAGGCATGCGGACGGTGTGTCTGTCTGTGTACGTTAAATGTCTAAAATGTGCAGGTAGAAAAAACCAACCGAAGTTACGATAAATCGAAATGCTTTCAATACGTCATGTCGATTGTGGCTGTCATTCGAATCCTTCAATTAAGGATTTATTTCATGAACTGGCAACATTCAATTAAATATTGTATGTATTGAATGCTATTAATTTTTACGGTGGGAAACGAACAAATATGACCAAACAGAGATTGCAGCAATTTAGAAATTGAACAAAGAAGAAGAAAAAATTACGGATAAAAAGAGAGTGAGAACGAATGCACTTTCTTTTTAAGGTTTGTTTTATTTCACTTTTTTTTTACATATAAATTATTTACAAACTGACAAAAACTTGAACGGTCGTTTTTTTTTTCTTCTTTACAAATTGGGGAGAGATTTTTCCCTTTAGGCTACTCTGTGAGTCTTTCTTTTTCTAATTAATTTCAACCTCCATATCATTAAATTCGGAGACAAGTAATTGCAAAATGCACTTGATATGTTTGTCTCGATGATTTAAGAAGAACTTTTGCATAAAAATCAATTTTGATGTCAGAAGTAATGCGTTTCTTATTGTGTTGCTGTTTTTGCTCGAAAACTCCATTCTTCTGTCAAAAACGAAGATAAAATACTAAACTTAAAGTAAATGCTCATTAAAAACTGTTTATTGGCGTAAATTCCACGAGCCGCCAAAAATGGAATTGATTGGCTCCGTTTTTAATTAGGCAATGATATCAAGAACACTCAAAATTGATGCAAATTGTTTCAAACCGCAACCTATTTGCGAATTCAAAACCGCAAAACACATGAAAACAGTTAAAGGTAACATGATGGCATGATATTGATGCTCGGACATGACCATAAAATATAATGGTTACACTCGATGAAAACTCGAAGGACAATCAAAAAATATGATTAAGAAAAATAAGAACATTGGTGAAAAAGTGGTCATCGATGAGAGAGAGAGAAAGAGAGAGAGAGAAAATTGGGCCAACGTTGTTTATTTTCGGTTGGTCTTGACATTGCGGTACAAACCGACCAATTTTCAGCTCAACTCCTCCAATGGCAATTTATGATTTGCTCAACGTTATTGGGAATCAAGTATTATAAAGTGTTCGAGTGTGTGTGTCAGTGTGTGTGTTCGTTGTGCTACAAATAAAGAGCGCTCTTTCCATTTAAAATTGTCAAGCTAATTATAATGTGCGCATGTGGTCAAGTGAGCAAAGAATACGTCGAGTGTGATTATTATCAGTTTTAAAAGCAGTAAGTGATATCTGCATACGTGCAATTCATTTCATCTTTCTCTTTCTTTCTTCCCTTCATTCTTCTTTCTCTTTTTCGTTCTGTTATTGTCACCTATATGTATATTCATTTGTTTCCAAAGTGGACGGCAATAAATATCAAGCTAATGAAGAAAGCGATTAACCGCACATCTCTGTTGCTGTTGTTGTTGTTTTTCTCTCGTTTATTTTTTGGCTGAGCAATACAACTCGGCATAATTTTCATTCACGACGTCTCCATTCATATAACCTGTGTGTGTGTGTCGGAGCTCTTTTTATGCCATCAGTCAGAAGATATTGCGTCAAAAAGAGCGACCGTACTCGCGCTCTCGAGACACATTCACTAGCCGTGTATATATTTATACATATATTTATCGGTATGTAGTATCGGTCGCACTTTATAAGCGTGCATCGCACAAGCTCTCATCATACATATAGTCAAACACAGACATTTTCTGTGCTTCATTCATTCAATAATAATAATTGTTGGTTTTTTTCCTCTCCTCTCTCTCTCTCTCTCTCTCTCCAATTCAGATGGTGTTGTTCATATTGTTCTTTCATTTTCGTAATAATTCGTTGGTATTGTCATTAATTATGCGAGTGCTAATATGAGAGAAGAGAAGACACGATCGCTCGTTTGCCATGATTGTATTGATTGAACCATACGCATAATAACTTTCATTTCAATTAATTTTCAATCTTTCTGTTTTCAGCCCTTCAAAAGCGGAAAAAATTACATTAACCAAATTGAAAATATTTTTTTTTTTGCATAAAAAAAGACGAGAAGAAAGCATCAACAACAACATGTGGGTAGATTATCATTAGTTTACTTTCCCAAGGATTCTATCTCGTTCATCGCGCAAAAATCACCGGTCAAAGCAGAACGACGAAACCAATGAAAGAAAAACAAAAAACGATGAACAAAAAAAAATAATGTAACGGACGAGATTTCAATGATATTGATAATAAATTGATCGAGAAAGTGACGAGAACGATGGGAAAATTGGCAGGTGCGCCCTTTTTCATTGCATTTTGCTCTGTTGTGTCTTTTTTAATACCTTCACTCAATATATGTGTGTGTACAATATTCTCCTTCTCTTTTATTGCTGTTTTATTCGGTGTTTCGTTTTCTTCAGCCTTCGTTTATTATTATTGTTGGTTTGGTATATACGATTTTTTTTTGTCTATCTTTTTTATGATTTTTTAAGTTACGATTTTCATGCATTGATTACCATGTGTGACATTGTACAAGCATTTGAATCAAATGGCCATAGAAATAGTATGTGTGTGTGTATAGAAATGTATTTGACTGCGATTTTCCTTTAAGTAACACCCATACATTCACACATACGAACGTACCCCGCTTCTGTAATCTTCGTGTAATGTTCCATTTCGATTTATCCGATAGACGATCATCAACGACGCAGTAACACAGACACGCTTTACGCACATTCACCACGTATAATACAATCTATTGCTATTGTATGCGTATGCATACACCAGAAAAGGAAAAAGAGGCAAACAACATAGAGAGAGAAAAGCAGGCAACAGCAACAACAACAACGGCAACGGCAATTTATTTTATTATTATTATGCACATGCAGTTAGTGCACCATGAATACACAAAACACAACACGCCATGTGAGCACGGTACGGTATGGGAACTCAGGGTAAGTTATAGTTCCCACGAAACTCAAAAACTTATTAAAGCATCACCATACACAAATACGCACAGATGTGAGTGTATATTTCATTCCATCATTCCATCATTCATCCGATCCTCGCCTTTTGCCTGCTCTTTGTATGTACGTATCGTATTGTTTTGATGCCTTCTTCGATACAATTCCTCTATTCGACACACTCATATCGAGTGAGTGGCAGAAGAGAAATAAAAAAACAAAACGGAACGAGGGAGAGAGCAACACTATTTTGGGTGTTTGCCAAGGGAGCGTTTTTCATCAATGCATATATGCATCGATATTTTTTCGGTGGTTTTTTTTTTGTATATGATCCGTTTTGTTCTATCTTTTCTCAACGGTTGGCATTTATTATAAGTTGAAGTGGATAATGAGGAATAACACCATTATGCACTTTAATATTTTGTTTTTATTTTTTCGCACGTTTTACACACATGGACAATGTTCATTAAGTTGTGAAACGTGTGTGCATCATTGTCTTGGTGTCTAGGTATGAGTTCATCTCAAATGCTAATGCTCAAATTATTTGCCTGCACTTTGCTTCTTTTCACCTCTCAGTCGTTGCAATTCAGTAAATTACGCAACATTTTGACCCTTGCAATTTCCTTTCATTGTTGTCGTACTTTTTTTTAACTTTTTATTACTTTTCACTTGTTTTTACGAGCTTTTCCGATGACAGCACTCCATACCAGATCATTTAGAAAGTACAAACAGGCAGGTAATTTATAAAATTGTAAAAACAATAAATAGCAAATGAAAATGTTGACCCTTTTTTTCTCTTTCACAAATGGTTTCAGATCCATTCACATTTCAAGTTTTTTCATTTCGTATAGCATAGTAATTGAAAACCATTTGATGAAAGCCACTTTAGGTCTGTGTTCTCTCCCTCGCTCTCTCTCTGCCGTGCATCCCTAACCGTTCATTTCGGATTCGATCAGATTATTCTATCGAGAAATAGACTGAATGGTAATCGTTCCTGATTGAGATGATAATTGTTCTCTCCGTTCATTCTTTTTTTGCCTATGTGCAATGTTTGGTTTGTGATTTCGAATCTCGGCCGCATATCGTCTATTCCATTTATCGGTGTTTATCGGTGCGCCTTGTTATGTTCATAAATGCAAAAATCTACCTAACAGAATTGAATCGAGCTCTTTGATCGTTCTCATAGCCGTTGTATGCTACTATATCTTGATGCACTTAACGATGCATTTAAATTACTTACTACGATAATGATGATAATGTGATGTTCGCAGAACATTAAAAAAAATGTGGCGGTTGATGGTAGTTGTCGCCGGTACAATTTCTTCATTTCAATCTTCGTCTTCGTTTTTCTTCTTCTTCTTCTTTTTTCTTCATAATTCTTTTCTTCTTTTCGTTTTTCTCTCATATTTTGAATGAAACTACTGCGTAAGCTCAAAATGAACCAAAAAAAAATGTAAAAAAGGTTATACTTAGCTCTCGGGGTATCAAATGAACACGTGTGCGGCGAACGTTTTTCGTCTCATTTTTCTGTTTTCGTTCTGCTCTTATTTCCATGTCGTTG